TTTTGTCGATTTCATACTGAAAAATAAAAACTTTGCATCATTTTTTTTTTAGTATGTTAATTAGTATATGCAGCTAAGAGAGTTCGCGGGATTGTAAGATTTAAAATCAATTAAATAAATTAAAAAAGATATTTTTTTATCCTTATTTTTTTTTTCACAAATTCATTTATCAGTTTATTGATGTAAATGTAGCAAGTTAATTTCATTTATCAGTTTATTGATGTAATTGTAGCAAGTTAATTTCATTTATCAGTTTATTGATGTAAGTGTAGCAAGTTAATTTCATTTATCAGTTTATTGATGTAAGTGTAGCAAGTTAATTTTTAATTTTACTGTACATAGTAATTCTCAACCTAATTATCTCAATAACATAAAATTTTATTAGGATGAATACCCCCATTACTGAACAACTTTATTTCATTTAGACATGTAGTAGTCAAAATAAATTATCTCACCACATGACCTGCCATCCGTTATCTGTTCAATTAAAGTCAAAGCTTTAATAAAAAAAAATTTTCTAGGCCTAGTTTTTCTCCAATTATTTTAGCGGACAAATTTTCCTGCTAAAATGGACGGTTTAAGGAATAGTAGCACTAATACGTATAAACCATTCCTTTTTTTAATACTCTCGATCGTGCGGGATTGCTTTACATTTTCTCTAATATTTCCATTTTTTTTTGTTATCTATATAGAAAGGGCTATTTATATCGTGTTGCGTCGGCGCTAGAACGTGTCTATGCCCATTTTCATGCCTAGAGCTCCTCCTTTCAGTATTTTCGTTTCTTGGAGATACCAATCTGTTTATCATACGTTGATTTGAAAATTCGAATGAAGTTGCGGAAGGTGTTAAACCGATACAAAAATGTTTCAAAGAAAAGGTTCCTTCTCTTTGTTTTTATCAATAGCAATCGAGTGGATAGTACAAATGATAATCGCATTCCTTCAGACGGGTCCTACTGAAAGGTGTGGAGTCAGGTCGATTATGTACAGTCATATAAAATAAAGTACAAATGAGGACAAGTATTCTAACACATGATTAACCCTAACCCTAAAATTTTTAACTATCGAGTCCTTGACCTTAATAATCTTGTACAGCGTATTCAACTCCTATTAGGGCTCGTACATGACTCTTCTGGTCAACCGAACTCCTATTCGTATTACCTTTAATCTTTAAAATTTTATCCCACCTCTAATCAGAATCAATTTTCTAGATGCCACCTATTCTAATCTTCACATACAAATACTGACAACATCCATTTCTTGATTTAGAACAAACTCTCAACTAATTGATAGACAATTTTAAAAATGATCTTTATGCATATCTACTATGAATTTATGAATCATCCATCTTTCTGAATCATTCCAATTTTAATGATATAATCGTGTGATTTTACGAACTAGCTCGTATAGTTTAATTTAATAAAATATAACATATTAAGATAAATTATTGGTTCAAACCGTTATTCTTAATTGTAATTTAGTCAGGGAATTTTACCAGATATAGTAATTATGTTTAAGTATTTGACTGGTTAAAGTTAATCATGTGATTTGTATTTTGCAATTTAATTGGTCAAAACTATTGACAATTTTTAAACTTTTTTAGAACCCTGAAGATCCTTGCGGATCGTACCTTTTATTATCTATTTATAAAAGTTTTATAATATAATTAAAAAAATTATTTTTTATCAAAAATTCAAAACTTTAAAAACACCAGACTGCAGTTACACAGATAGCATATTCTAAAATAATATATTTTATTTAAATAATATCTATTGACGTTAACTTTATTTAACTTTTGTACTCTTTAAATAGCATAAATTCTTAGTAAGTCAGAAGCAGATAAATAAAATAATTAATCTACTGTGAAAAAACATTGTTCGACTCATAAATTAATTTTATTAAAGCACAAGATCAAACCTGCAGGAAATGGAATAAGATTATTTGTAGAAAAATGACAACTTATATTAATTTTTGGCGATGTAAATATTTTCAAATATTCTTCTAATATTATAGATTGTAATAATAATAATAAATAAAAATGATAAATAATAACATATTGGATATTTACATATTATATTTCAATTATGAACAAAACAAATAAAAAAATTGCAACTATGGTGCGAACAGTCTAAAGACATCAAAGAATACGTAATTTGATAGCTTTTAATAAATATTACCAAACAACGTATTTTATTTTAAAGTTTTTTATTGAGAAGATACCACTTTAAATTTTTTATTATGTGCAAAAAAAATTCATATTATATTATATAAGACTCTAGAATTTAATGATTATAATTATAGTAAATAATTCTTTTATTGGCTATTCGTAAGAACGCTGCACACAACAAAATTGAGATGTATAATCTATATTTCAAATTAAATTTTTTTTCCTACTAAAGATTTTCATTACCGCCATTACTTCGGTCATGTTACTCTCGAATTTCAAATTTCTACGTTAGGAAGACAACTGTTTCAAGCGAGAATTTGATGATAAGAATACAACCCAAATATTAGTTTCCTACATAGTTATGTCTATTAATATTTAACCTAACAAACCAAATTTTTTATGGATTGAATTTATTTTCCAGAATATTTTAATATAATTTTATAAAACTCAAAATTCTATCAAATAACCATAAACATTATCAATTAGCAAAATTTTAACAAAATCGCCTCACATTTTTTAATTAGAAGTCTCGAAATTTATTAATATATATATATATCAGCATATTCTTATAAAAAATTATTCTAAAAATATGAATATTTTATCAAATTGCATATTACCTCTTTTTTGATTTTTTTTAAAGGAAATGAAAATCTAGCCTCACCCTTAAATTATGTTATTTTGTAAAAAAAAAAAATTATATCAAAAAAGCCGAAAAAGGCATAATACCAATCGTAAATTAATTATAATCGGCTAGTTTTTCAGATTCGCGATAAACGGAAAGAGATCTTCATATATAAGAACCTTAATCTCGTTCTAGAATAAGAATATCACAAGAACTATCTTATAAAAGTCCCTTTCTCCATTAACATCATAAAAAGCAATGGTTCTGATTTAAACATATTTTAGTTTCAAATGACAACATAGAGATTAAAAATTAATTTTTAATATAATTGGAAAAAGTTACCCCTTTCCGTTTCTCGATTAATTATTAGTTGATCGAATTTAACCCAGTATATTAGATTAATTGATCGAATTTAGCCTAATAAATTAGTTGATCGAATTTAACCTATTTATATAGATCAGCCATTTTGAGAATTCGCTTTATTCGGCTAAACAAGCATTCTTAAAACACGGCACAACATAATACTTTATTTTTATTAGTTATTTTATTTGACTATATATATTGCATTATTATAATTATATAAACTATATATCATTTAAGTAAATTATATATCGTGACGTTATTTTAGCTAATACAAAATTTGAGAATTAAAAAATTAATAATATATTTCTATATGAAATAAAAAAAAAGAATTTTGCGTTTTTTTGCGTATTCTTCTATATTTCTAAACTGTATATTTTTATGAGAATCAAAAAAATTTTATTTGTTTTAATTTATTTATATACAGATTCATTAATAATATGATAAACTGTATATAAATAATTAAGATTTTTTGTTATGTTCAAAATTTGCCATTTTGCCTTTTTTTTCAAAATAATTTTTTAGAATCACCAAATAAGATTTACATTTATTAAACAATAAATATAGTTAAATGCAATTAAATGAACATGTCGATAAATAGAATCTTTATTGGTTAAATGTCTAAATAAGGAACTGATGAGCATTTTTATAAGTACGCAATAACAATAATGCGATTTCTGAACTTTTTCACTAATAATATTATAAAAATAATGGAATGAACTAATCAAAAATACCTACATTTTTGGTTCATTTTAATTAATAAAAATTATAAGATTTTATAAAATAATTTTGTAATAATTATGTAATAATCACGTCATAAAAAGCGTCAAAATGGCTACATATTTAAAAGGAAAAAATATTAGAATAAAGAGAAATCAATATAATAAATCATATAATAAATCAAAAAAAAATATAATAATTAATACAGTGCTAACAAATCTTCGCAGTCTTGAAAGCACGAAAGAATTCTGATCCTCGACTACATATATATTTTTTATTTACATTTTGTGTATTTTTTTATATATTCTTTATATTATATTTATAGTTATTCTGTTTATTTCTTAAAAAAATTATTTTATTTATACATTAACTAAGTATGAAATTCTTATAAATAATTAAGATTTTGCGTTGTACATAAAAAAAACCCCCTTTTGGTTGGAAAAAATCGTGTGCTACAGGAACCATATTAAATATATAAAAAATTTTTAAAACATCAAAAATACTGTAAATAAAGTTTACATTATTTATATTTTTTGTTAAAAACCAATTTATTATTAAAATTAAACTCCTATAATCCAAACTTAAAATAAAATAAAAATCAAACTCAAAATTTACTGAAACTAATATTTTTGCAATCTGTACAACCATATGACCATTTTTTATTATTATAATTATTATTTAGATAAATTGTATGGGATTTATTTATGTCTATTATTATTACATATATTATTATAATTGTCTTACAACAAGAGAAGCTTAAGAAAAATCATAGTTATGAGTTGTTAATTATTTATTGTACAAGTCTTATTGTTATCTAACGCATCAAATAAGTTATAAAAAAAAAAGAAATTTCTAGTCTCGAAATCCATTATAGTCTGCATAAATAATTAATTTCTAGAATGCATCGTCCAACAAAATAAAAGAATATTTATAGAACTTACTTATTATATTTCTTTCTGAGATATAACAAATATCATAAATGATAATAATTAATAATATCATATATAAGTCAAAGTTAAAAATGACCAAATTCAAAGAATTCTTATTGATAAGTTTAACCAATTCTTCAAAAAAAAGAAAAAAGAAAAATTGATTTATATTTATAGTCGTATTTTCGTGATTAATTTTTCACTAGATATAGTCATTAACTGGTAACGATTGAACAATTGCTTTATAAGTTAATGCTAAATCTTCAGAAAGATAATTCATAAATTCATTTTCATTCATAGTCAAATATTTTTTAAAATTGTCAGATACAATTGGTTGAGAGTTTTGGTCAATATTCGAATGTGAAAGAGGATTAGCATCGGGAAATTTTTGATTTTGATTAAGAAAGTTTTGATCTATATTAAGTGAATTTGTACTATCTTCTTGATTGCTATGGATGAAACAAAGAGGACTCTTTTGTTTGTAAGATTTTTTTACATTTTTTGCCATCTGTCGGTAATAATCTTTGACAACTTCTGGCTCGTTTTCCCATGAATTTCTAGCAAATTTAGATACATCTTTACTTGAAATATTTAACTTTGCAACTACATGATTATATTCTTTTCGATAAATGATAAATGCATTCACCGTTTTATTAACGTTTTTGATTCGATTTTTTAAATGAATTTGTACAATTTCATCTACACTAATGGACGGAGGAAATGGGATCTTTAATATCTTAGTTGTATTTTGGTAATTAATATTAATTGACATATTTAAATAAAATATAATTTTTTTTCGAGGAGAAGGGACAGGGATAGAGATATTTATATGAAATTTAAAGTATAATAAATAAATAAATATTAATAAGTAAATATACAATAATATAATAATTTTTGTAGAAATTTTGATCTAAATAATTTAAATTGATAATAAAATCTTTGTTTGGAATCTTTGTTTAAAATTCAACATGCACAAAATCTGATAACTTTTAATTCTATATGTATTCCAAATTCAAATACCGAATAAAATAATTTATTTTACGATATTCCCTTTTTTAGTATCGTTTTAATACTTAATTCATAAGAAAGACATCTTGAAATCCGAAATCAAGATCAATCTTAAATTCTGTTCGTTTAGTAAATTATAAAGATAGTTATATTTTTTAGAATTATTAATAATTTTTTTTATGATATATGGATTGCGTTCCTGCTTAAATATTATTTTATTTTTTATAAAATTAATGAAGTTATCCATAAATAATAAAATTAAATTAATTATTAATTTATTATCTAGACCCCTGGTTCAGGTTGAGGCTAAGCCCCTTCCTTTTTTAGAAGGTGAGTCGGATGTCCCATGTAATATAAACATCTACTATTGGTACGAATTTTTCATGCAAAAATTTATTTGTAAATAATAATTTTTTTTAATAATTTAAAATTTTTTAAAAAAATGACTAAACAATTCATGAATATATATAATTAAGAAAAATGTTTATCTTTCGGTTAATTAATATTTAATGTGTTTTTTTTAGAACGAAGTCCAAATTTGACCCATACCAAAAAATTTGCAAAATGTAAATCGTTCAATTGAATGAGTGATTATTTTGAGTTTTAGGGTTTTGATTCATATTTATAAATGTAGGATTATGGCTGAAGTAATTCCCAAAAAGTTTTGGTCTATAAGGGGAAATAAGGAGGTAATATCAGGAGAATTTTGATTCATATTTATAAATTGGTGACTAGAATAAATAAAGTTTGAAGGTGGAGAATTGATGTCTGCAGTGCAGTAACTACATTGTAGTTTTAATCCATATTTATAAATTGAGGTTTTAAGTAGATAATATCTGGATTCATATTTACAATTTGGTGACTAGAATAAATATTGCTAGGAGGATTGGAAGGTGACTTAATACTAGAATTGATGAGTAAATAGTTCCTGAAGAGGTCTGATCAAGAAGTGGAGAATTATGGGAGGTAGTGTTTGGAGAGTTTAGCACAGGAGGGTTGGCTTCATTATCATTTGTACCAGTCAGATTGCTGTGGATAAAATAAAGAGAAGTAATTTTTTCTTTAAACTTTTTTTTACATTTTCAGCTATACGTTTATGACGGTTTTAGATTTCGTTTGATACACTTTTCCACGATTTACTTGCCAATTTTGATGCAACATTCCTTGAAAGTTCAGAATTTTGGAGTGCAAAAATATTTTTCATAAATCAAAAGTGGGTTCAAAGTTCAACTTACGTTTTAAATCTATTTTTTAAATGCATTTTTACGATACCATCTACACTTATTGACATATTCAACTAAGTTATAATAAATAAATTTCTATAAGGTGAGGTTCTTTTCGTATTAATTTATGATAAATAAATATGTATATACTTTAATACGCAGATTCTAAGAGAATAGAAGAGTAGCAGATCCGCAATAAATCATAATTAATTAATTAAATAAAATTAAATTAAAAAAAATTTCGAACTTTGATATGAAAATTTCGTATCAATAAATTAGATATTCAAAATTGGTGTTTTTATATACAGTCTAATTAAGAAAAGTATATCTTCGATGTTTACTTTGTGCTAATGGCAAAAAAAAAACCAAAGATAAAAAGGATAGAATTTAAATTTTTTTGATAAAGATAGAAGAGGAAAATTTTTTTCACGAATGCGGTCAAAGAGTTACTTATATACGGAATTTTACTTTGACTCTTCAATAAAAATATTTAATCGTAAATCTATTTTTATCAATAATAATCAAGTAAATAAAAAATTAAAGTAAATAAAAAAAAATTAAATAGAAGATCAAAGTAAATTAAAAATTTTGTGAATAAAAAATTAAGTAAAAAAAAAATTAAGTAAACAGAGTCAATAAAAAATTAAATAAAAAATTCAAGAAAATGAAGCGATATTTTAGATTTTTATTATAATTTAGTTTTTTTTTGAAAATATCACTTATTATTTAAAATTACATTTTTATTACTTAATTTAGTTTAAGAAAAGTGTTTCTATTTTTTTTTTAACTGTATATATCTTTTATTAACGTGATATAAATTAAATATGCAGAATGTATTATATAATAGTTAATTAAAAATTAGATAAATAGGAAAATTAATTTTACTCCGAATAAAATAATAATTATCAATTATTATAAGCATACATAAAAGTACGTTATTTAAATAAATTACATTGTTCAAAATTCAATCTGGAAAATTTCTGGTGATACCTTATATGAGATAGATCACGAGATGTGATTTAATTGAAATTTTATTATTGACAACAAAACCAGAGGGATCACCATTTTTATTAAATATCTGGGGGATAGAATTTCTTTGCTTATGAAAACCATTGATTATGGACCAATAAAATTAACGAATTCAAGAGGTGGAAAAGTTTCTCCCCGAAAGTGAACACACCCATTGTTGTTGCTGTTTTGAATGCAATATATATAATATATATGTTTATATATGTTGCAACTCAGATGTCACCTCAGGTAACTCCTTTCTAACTTTGGCCAGGTGACATCTGAGCCAAGAATCGATCTGAGGCACAACATATACATATTGAGGTGGCACGAAAACGTCCTAAACACGGTGTCACTTCAACCTTCATCCAAGATGAAAGATAATATCGGAAGATATAAAAATAGCTGCGAAAAGGAAGAAGAAAGAGAGATTCCTTTTCGCCAAAATGAACAAGAACCAAAATAAAAATATTTTGTTTGATATTTCGAACAATTTTAATTTTAGTTTTATTTTTACTTAAATATTTTGAACATTTTAATTTAAGTTTATTTTTACTTTTCATTCGTAATACTTTTTAATAATAATAAAATAATTTCGTATAGCAATAGAGATAAGATACACCAACACAGTAATATATCTCTATTGTTGTATTTCTGCAATAATTTTAATAATTAATTTAGAGCAGGAGGAAGCAAAGTGATAAGATACGCCAAAGCAGTAATACATTGCTATTGTTATACTCCTACACGAAATTTTAATAAATTTTTATAAACTATTTCGTATTTCTTGGCAAAGTTGCATTAAAAAGTCTATTTCAGTTTGGTAGTGTGCAAGCAGTAATAAAGATATTTTACTCCACTTGCTCATCGTACCTTCAGATATTACACGTTTGAGAGTGTTAGTAAGCAGGTTTAGATCGACTGATTGCCTGATCTTACTGTGTTTCGCACAAGAGAAGTGTGTTAGTGATACATTGAATTATCGTGTAATTATCCTAAACTTATTGAGACTGATTTGCGTAACTTTCCACATTGTTCTGCTCAGACCGCGACAATATATATTTATTTATTTATACTAAAATAATGACTATCGAACCATTAAAAGGTGGTTGGATATTAAAATAAATTGACCATGATCTATCGAGACTATTCTAGGCACTGACCAAAAGATCTTCTGAACTAAGATGACTAGTCTTTGCCTCACACTTGTGGTAGTAGGATCTTCTGGACTAAGATGACTAGTCTTTGCCTCACACTTGTGGTAGTAGGATCTTCCTCTTTTTTAATCCAATTTTCGTCATATGGATATAAAACGTTATTTTGTGCCTTGTGTATATTGGTAGAACTCCTCTTCGGTATTTTCGTTTCGGCTGTGATGGTTTTTGTCACAGTGGCAGCTCCGAGCCTTGTCTGAAAGAGGTGTTGGCTCAATACAAAAATATTTCAAAGAAAAGGTTTCCTTCTTTTTGTTTTATAAATAGCAATCAAGTAGATGATAATCACGTCTCTTCAGATATCTTTAATCTTTAAAATTTTCTTCCACCTCTTAATCAGAATCAAATTTTCTAGATGCCACTTATTTTAATCTTCACATTCAAATCCAGATCACCATCCATTTCTTGTTATAGATTTTGATGAACTTATGAAGAATCATTACAATTTTAATAATATAATCGTGTGATTTTGCGAAACCTAAGTTCTTGTATAAATATATGCTAGTTTAATTACAAATAGTTACCCTTAAGGTATTTATTTTTTTTAGTAAAAATATAACTTTAAATATTGTTAATCTTCTGATATAGTATAATGTTTATATATTAAGATAAATTATGGGTCCAATGAAGCTGTCATTTTCATATGAAATTATTTGTATCATTTTATCTTAACACGACATATTCTAAAATATTATACAGTATTTTATTTAAATTAATGTCCATTACGTTAACTTTATTTAAGTTTACATGTTACATAATAATCTGGAGCTTTAAATAATATATAATAAAATTAAGTTTAACATTAAATAGTAAGTTCATTTATTAAATTAACTGTTAAGTATAAATTCTTAGTGAGTCGGAAGCATACAATGACCGGATAAATATAAACAAATAAACAAATAATTAATCTATTGTGAAAAGCGTGGTTCGACTTACTAAATTAATTTTATTAAAACAAAAGGTCAAACTTGCAAGGAATGGAATAAGATTATTTGTAGAGGTTATTGAAACAAGTGACAACAAATATTAATTTATGGTGGTGATGTAAATCTTTCTTTCTTTAATACAATAGATAATAATAATATAGTAAATGATGACAACAACCATGTTAGTCATATAAAATCAATAAAAGACGTATATCATAAATTATATAACGACTAGTTAAGTCATATAAAAAATATGACGTGATGTTTTGAATAAGAAAGTGAGGTAAAATTAAATATATATATATATTTTTTTAAGCATAGATTATAGAATTTTTGATTTTTATGGGAAATTCATACTGTATATTGTATAATTTTAATATGGTAATTTTTTTTTAGCCATTCTCAAAAAAAAATCTGAGATGCATAATATTTTAAACAAATTACAATCTTGTGTAATATGATAATAATCGTATTATTTCTTATTTTAAAACAAATTACAATTTTGGATAATATGATAACAATTGTAATTATTTATTAGTTGATCGATTTAAATTCAATTTATTTCCAAAATAATAGTTGTGATGCAGACAAATTTCCAGACCGAATTAAGAAATTGATTCTTCATAAACTTTACCTCATTAGTATCTGTTATATGTTCTATATCTACGTTAACAAAAAAAAAAAAAGATTTTCCATTTCTCGAACATAACTCTCACGCTTAAAACTATAAAAACCATTGAGAATATGTTGGTTTCGATAATTGATATTTTTAAATTTCAATTTTTTTCTAAAGTTATTATTATTAAAATCATCGATAATGGAAGCCGAACCATGGAAATTAAATGATCATTTTATAAAGTTAATAAAATTACCGATGGAAACCGAACCATGGAAATTAAATGATCATCAAATTAAAGTCCTGAAAGCTTTCTGCGGTACATTTATAGCTGAATTGACTGATGATGAAATTGAATCCCTCCTAAATACGAAGACTAAAATCCCTATTGATTCCGAAAAAATTCGTGAATTCGGAAAATTCGACTTGTCCAAACAGGATGAATTCATTGAATTATTGATAGACCATCTCAAACGGGATTTATCAATGAGATCGCTCTCTCGACTTTCTAAAATTTTAACGCTTTTCACCATACGACCACTTTCATTTTTATTAACTGGTCACCTGTCACTATTCTATGAGCTTAGTAGAAAAGATCGAGAAATTGTCCTGCAAAAATGGTCAAAAAGTTTTTCATTCTATAGAGATCTTTATAAAACCTTTAGTAGTATTATATTAATATCATTTTGGTCAAGTGAGAATGCAAGTATCTTTAATTCTACAATTGGATATCCTGGACCTGATCCTCGAATAAATAGTCAACGTTATACTGAAAACTTAAGTAAATTTCCAATTTATGATTTTATTCAAGTTCCACCTGAAGGATTGGAATTACAATTTGATGTAGTGGTAATTGGTTCGGGAGCGGGAGGAGGTGTGGCGGCAGCTCAATTGGCTAAAGCTGGATATAAAGTTTTAGTGATCGAGAAAGGAAAATATTATCATCAGAGTGAACTTACTTTGACTCAAGCAGATTCCACTGCTAAGCTCTATGAGCAAGGAGGGACGATTGCAAATCAAGATAATACGATAGGAATTCTAGCCGGATCAACCTTTGGTGGTGGTACCACAGTTAATTTTTCGGCATCATTTAAGGTAAACAGATTTAAAAGAAGTTGCTAATAATTAAATAATTTATATATATATATATATTCTAAATTTATGTTATTTTTATTTTATATTTTATATTATTTCAGTTACCAAATATTATAAGAGAAGAATGGGCTTCGGAAGGATTAGATCATTTTACTACTAAAGAATATGATAATTCACAAGATGCTGTTGAAGAAAGAATGGGCGTATCCACAAAAGCGATTGTTCATGATGAAAAAAGTAACATACTTATTGAAGGTTGTAAACGACTTAACTATCATTATGCAGATGTTCCACAAAATACAGCGGGCGCGGAACACCAAGATGGATGGTGTTTGTTTGGTTGTCGTTATGGAGAAAAACAAGGAAGTTTAATAACGTGGTTAAGAGATGCGAGAGATAATGGAGCAAAATTTGTGCAAGATTGTTATGTCAAAAAAGTTTTAATCAAAGATAAAAAAGCAGTAGGGGTTGAAGCGACAGTTGGTAGTGATAAACGAAAATTAATAGTGCACTCGAAGAAAGTAATTGTTTCTTGTGGATCAGTTCATAGTCCAGCATTACTAAAAAGAAGTGGACTTCGAAACAAAAATGTTGGAAAAAATTTATTTTTGCATCCAGGAATGTGTATTACTGGTACTTTTCCTGATAAAGAAATTAAGTCTTATTATGGAACCATTATTTCTGCGTATTCTAGTATTCATACCGATATTTATGCAAAAACTAGTGGACATGATTATGGAACAAAAATTGAACTTATGCCTTTTCATCCTTCATATGAGGTAGCATCTATCCCTTGGAAGTCCGGATTAAATCATAAGCAAAGAATGCTTCAACTGAATCATCATTCACCTTTGCTCATTATAGGACGTGATAAATATCCAGGAAGTATTGATATTGATGACAATGGAGAACCAAGAGTACATTATACCGTTAATGATTATGATTTAAAAAATATTACAGAAGGAGTAGTTGCTGCGGTTAATGTTTTAGTTGTAACGGGAGCAAAATCTATTGATGTGGGCATTTCAGAACTTGATGAATTTGTACCTACAGAAAATGATCCTTTACAAGATCCGAAGTTGAAATCATTTATTGAAAATATCAGAAAAATTGGAACAAAGAATTGTAATTTCGGAAGTGCACATCAAATGGGAACTTGGTAATTTATAAATTTATTTATTTAATTTTATTATTTTATTATTTAATATAAATTTATTATTTATTTTATTTTAATTTTATTTTTTTAATTATTTTATTATTTAATTTAATTTTATATTAAACAGTCGAATGGGAATCGATTCTTCAACTTCAGTCGTAAATCCAAGGGGCAAAACTTGGGAAGTTGATAATCTTTATGTGGCTGATGCAAGTGTGTTTCCTTCAGCACCAGGTGTAAATCCTATGGTAATGTGATGTGATTAAAAATAATTATTGTTATAATTTCTTTTTTATATATAAATTTAATTTTTACTAATTTTTTTTGATTTATAGATTACAATTTGTAGTGTTGCATATTCCATTGCAAATTTTATTATTGAAGATGATCAAAGAACATGAAATATCTGAGAAAATCTCTGATTGTTTATTATTTCATATATTCACTTTTATGTATTTTCCATTTATGATAATTTTATTACAATAAAAAAAAAAACTAAAAAATTAAAATTCTGGTCAATGGATCCTTAGTTATGATAATTACTAAACCAGTGGAAATTTTTTTTCCTTTTTGGTTCATACTTTATTTAAACCACTTTTAAACTATTCAGTTTTCGGACGAAAGAATTGAATAAAAGAAATTTTGTTTAAGATCGTATAGTAATTATAATTAGCCCATAATTTTACTTCAATTAATCCAGTTCCATCTTTCAACCAAATTATTTTGATGCAATAATATTGAACGTGAAAATTCTTTAACTTACAACATTTAATTGTTAATGTTCAAACCGTTTTCTTTCTATAAACTTTATAACGAATAATTCAAATATTAATTTTCGCATGTACTGTACGTCTTAAAATCTTTGGTTCTATTAAATTTCTCAGGTTTACATGTATTATGAACTATACAACGAAACTCCGTTAGATGCAACCTTATTTTAATCTACTTCGTTAATCTGTATTAAAAGATTTTCGAGAATTGTTCCAACTAAGTGAATTGGGATCTTTGTCAATGTAACACAATCGCTATAAATGTGGGTAAAAAAATTGAGTTTGAATAGTTACATTTCGGCGACAATTTAAAATCAGGAAAGTATAATAAAATTTTTATCTTGCTTTACTTTTTTCTGAGTTGATGAGTTATCTCGTTTTCGTTGACATCATCAAGAATAGGTATTTAGATTTTTTCAAATATCTTGAAGGCTGGTTCAACAACATTGAGTATTTGGATTTTTTTTTTTGCATTGGCGATTTTGAATCAAATATCTCAATTTTCATTGATATCAAAAAAAGGTATTTTAATATTTTTTTCAAATTATCTTAAAGGCTAGTTCGACGAACCAATCCTATGATGTTAAGAATATTTTTTAAAGCATCATTTTTGTTATAATATTTTAGAATCCTATTTAACTGTCTTCAGCAGGAACGATTAAAGCAATAATGAGAAAGAAAGGTAAATTATAAATTATATATAATCATTTACGTAGCAAGTTGATAAGAGTAGCAACAATTAAATAATTACTTAATATAAATTTATCATGAATTATAATTTCATATAACACATTGATTTATTTTAATAAAAAAGTAACCCAAAAATAATTATTAATATATAATTGTGAAAGATGAAACTAGATTAATTGAAATAAAATTATGACTTAATTCTAGTGAACAATATAGTCTATAACATAAAATATATCTATTACAAGAATAATACTTGACGATTATTTTTTTATTCTTAACATTTAATTAACAACATATTTTTATGGGAATGATTGATTACCTTTTATTTTATTCAATAAATTATACGTCTTTATCATTCAAAAAGATATCTAAAAGCTCCTTTCAAAATCTATCAATTTTTAATAATTGGCTTCAAAAAATAATGAACAATATTGAAATCTTATAACAATAATGTAATCGTTATATAATACAATTTGACTATAACTATAAAGTAATATTCTGTTCCTATTTAAAACTTACGTTAAAACAAATGACAGTTATTAATATAAATACAGTATAAGTATATACTTTATTTTTATAAAAATATATCATTCATTTTTACTTTCAGCATTTCATACTAGCGCGAAACATTATTACAAGAATCTTAACACTAATAAAAACAATAGAAATTATTTATACAGCCTTGTATTAGAATAAAAATAAGTCAATACTAGATGTTGACGTGTTATAGCACAAAACAAAATTTCATCATTTGACTAACGCGTATTTTCTATTCATCATATTAGTTTGGATTTGTTTCTGATACTATTGAATTGTTTTTGTTGTTTCAAGTTTACAGATGCAATAGATTACATTGTAATCATATTCATAAAAGCTTTTTTTTCTCCAACTTTACCTCGTCATATCCGCAAAAAAATATCCAATTTTAAAACTTTGCGCTGGTTCGTTTCAATTATGGTTTCTCTCAAAAATTCCAATGTCTTCTTTTCTGTCTTGGAACTCAGCATGTTGATCATGTCGATGTTTTCATTATCAACTAAAGGAATTGTATTCGTAATGCGAAATGCCTCAATGGGTTATTGTGTGGTGAATTCAAGAGGACTGCAACCTTTATAATATTGGACTTGGTGCTTGTGGTGAAATTAATAACAATGAACAGCTCGTAGCCACTATCCCTTGGAGTATGTTTGATCCTTCACCTAACAGAAATCTTAATATGAATCCACATTGTAACAGAACCATAATAATCACCCGTAAAAATCAATCAAGGGATACTAAAGAAGAGAGGTTAAAGTATTTTTAAAGACTGTTACGCAGGTTGTGATTACGGGAATATCGATTTGAGTCCGTAAATATACGAATTATTATTATTTCTTAATTCAAATACTCAATATATTATGTTAATATTTATAAAGGCTAGGCTTGCATTCAACTTGATTGGGAATCCAGACGGTCTCGTTTCCGTTTCATACACATTAACATAGAAATAATGAACTCACTTTAACAACGTTCGATGACTTCTATTACTGGGAGGGTAAGAAGGGTGAGATGGTTTCAAGTTAACGGTTATAGTAAAATAATCTATAGTAAATAATTTATATACAGTAGAATTTGTCTGGAAAAATCTATGTACTATACGTCTGATGTCTTTATATGTATATATTAATACATACTATTTCTATAATATATTGGTTAGAAAACTCCTAATACTCAGAAAATTTTATACATTTGGTTTTTATACGACTCAAAAAATCATTTTATATACAAAAAATGGAAATAATAAACCGATTTTTCATTGTTCCCATTTAGTATCGATATCAAATATGCATGGCTATAATTATCAAATTAATCAGGCAGGACATATTCATGATTTTTATTTCTATATTAAGAAATTTTTAGCCATAGTTTGGCAGTCGATTTTAAAAGGGGAGCAAATTTTTTTTAGAACACTACGACATTTAAGTGCATTGGAGTGCATTTATAGAGAAATTTTATAAATTCACCATGTGTTGACTGTATTTAAAAATGAATACAAGTTTTGTATTGTTGTTTTTTTTATCTATCTAAAATAAATATTTAACCATGCATGCAATAAATATACACTATAAATCATAAAAAAAAAAAACTTAATATAGTAAAAAATATATTTCTTTGCTAATATTTCTAGATATCTAGATATCTAGTTTCGGAATTTAAAAATGGTAAAAGTCCCATTTTCTCCAACCATTAGTGTAGATGAAATCGTATTAATTCGTTTAAAAAATGGCATTAAGAATGTTAATCAAACTATGAATGCATTTATGATTTGTCGAAAGAATTTAATTAAGCGCACCAAATTCTAATCTTTCATTTAAAAATGTGTCAAAATTAGCAGATGAATCTTGGAAAAACGAATCCATTAATGTCAAAGACTATTACAAACAGATGTCTAGTAAGGTTAAGGAACGTTATAAAATCGTTACTACTCCTTATTTCGTTAGCAAATTTGGAACAAACCAAGTTGCTACAAATGAAAATCATGTATCTCTAGAAATCAATCCTCTATGGAACAGACCTCACCAGGAATTATTCATTCCACTCATCAATTTGTGAATATAGATCAAGATTCTCCAGATATTACCTATTTTCTTATGAACCAAAACTCAGGAATTGCTTTTTCTGATCATCCGAATATCTAAATGATTATCCAATTACAAATATGTATAAATCAATTTGTGAATGTGGGACAAACCTTTCCAGATGCTACCTACTCGAATATGTCTCCAGGTGCCTGCTGTAATTCGACATTTATGAATATAAATCTGACTCTCAAGATGCTATCGACTTTAACCCTCAACCTTCAAATATGTATCTAAACATTAATTACTCTTATCCACTTCTGAACATGAACCATCAATACTCGATTCATCTTGTATCTGATAATTTTAAAAATGATTATGGATCTTCTGAAAGCCATCATGTGATCTACATTTAAATTTTAGATACGGTATGCTGGTTATTTTACCATTTCAAATTTGTATAACCTGAGCTTACATAGTCATTTTGTAAAATCTGACTTCTTTCTTTACCTTTTTTAAAAAAATAATGAAAGAATATTTATTATCGACGAGAGGAGTAGATTACACGGTAGATTACACAGTAGATTTTACACAGTAGATTAATTATTTGTATGCTTAAGAATTTTATGCTTAACAGTTAATAAAAGGATATTCAATTTATTATTATTAAACCTAATTACAGTGGTGTGCAAAAAAAATGGCAATCATTTAAATTACGTTTATTCAACAACCGTTACACCAATTAACATGTATT